ATCAGTCAGTGGACATGTTTGCTGAGCTGGTTAGTTTATATGCTTTAATCCCTTTGTCCAACTCTGTAAATCACTTTCCATAGCAATAATTATTTTTTTGTCCACATTTAAGGCCATAATCATGCAAATAAATGGGAACATCCCGAGTCTTGGTGGAATGGCGATATCTTGTGATTATGGAAATATCTACACTGTCGCCAGAATTCTCACAGATTATAAGATTATTTATTGTGAGTTTCTTCCAAGAGAGAAATATCCCACATTCCCACCCAATCAAGGTATGTAATGGAAAATATCCTCAACACATTCCAAAATCTTTTTTATGGAATTTATTTCCTTAATTATTGTATTGATTCTGGGGTTACAGGTCAGTTTTTTGCAAATAATTACATTTATAGAAAGCATTAGACAAAAGGAAAGCAGAACAGCTTCTCTAGTATATGAAGTGTCACATTATCCTTGCTGCTGAAATATCCTGAAATCTTTTTACCATCCTAACATGAGTTGTCAATCGATAACTAGTTCAGGTATGTAACTTATTGGGTCTTGTTTATGTTACCTGGATAAAATTTGAATTTTAAATTTTCTTTTTTTAAGTACTGAAATCTACAGGTTTAAGCTGTTTACAAATTGTTATTTTTAATCATTACTATTTTACTTTCCTTCCAAATATACATTTAAGAAAAAAAAACCAAAGAAAATGTGAAGTGTAGTCTGAGATGCCATCTGCATGCTTCTCATTCCAAAAGACTGGCAGAAATTTCAAACCTGTTTGCAAACTTTGAATGCTCTAAAACTGGATGTTCAGCATGAGATACCAGGGACCTGACATTCATAGATGCTGCACATCTGCAGTTCTACCCGAAGTCAGTGGGAGGTGGTCACCAACACCTTTGGAAATCGGGCCCAGGTCATTTCATGTTGGGTACCCAAACAGTGAGGCATCTAGAATCTGTAGCTAGTTTTGAAATTTTTGAGCTAAACATTCTAGACTTCAAGAGTAGATTTTCACAAGTCTTCAGGATTGGTCTAACTGCTCCACTGAAGTTAATAGGGTTTAATCATTGACTTGAGTGGGAGAAGAGTTAGGCCAACATTCTGAGCATAGTTGAAAATCCCACTGTTATCAGGCTGTTTTAAAAGATGATGTTGATGGTCTCCTCCACTATAGGAAAAATAGTAGTGATTGAACTGCTTTGTATTGTTGTTCATGGTAATGTCCAAGGCCACTTCTGGAAATGTATCTTTTAATTTATTATGCAATTCTTGGAAGAAGCTTTGATTCACATCCCAGGTGGGTTTATCATAAGATTTCAAAAAATTAAGCGATTAGAATATAGCATGAGAAATGTATTGATCAGATATTGGTAGACAAAAAAGTGATTTTTCACCATTCTTTGTTGGTTTGTTCTCTCTGAGAAAATGCATGGGATTTTAAAACATATTGACTAACCTGACTTTAAAATGCCACTTAGCATAGACAAAGACACTAATTAATTTTGTGGACTAGTCTAGAGATTTAAAGTCAGTGAGGCTAAATAAGGAGGGACACATGAATTCTGTGAGGCAACCCAGAGGAAACCCCAGAGAAAAACATTAAGCAGCTGGGATATTGTTTACTCAGAAGTTTGTCTTGCCCTCTAAGATTGAGCAAAAAATAGAAACTCTCTCGTGATCCAATATTCTTTGGCTTGCTTGTTTCAGACCATGTGATTGTTCAAACTGCAGTACAAGTCAACGGCAAAAATATTGTCCAGGCCAATTTCACCATTTATGATTGCAAAAGAACTGGAAATATTTACCCAAAGACAGCGTAAGTGATCTCACCTTCCATAAATTACAGAAACCAAAGCAGTTTTGGGGGAGGACAGAGTTTGGGGGAGATAGCAGGGTGTTGACAAACAGTAGATTTGCTCTGCTGTGTCTCACTTTAGAATCTGATGCCAATTATTTGTTCCAGGGAATGGATGTAAATTGAGCAATTGAAAATGGTGTATGTGCATCGTTTGATTGTGCTTGCTTGGGGGGCTGGGTGGGGGGAAGAGTTAACTGAGCAGGAACAGCTCTCCCTGCCAGTGGGACTGTTTGAGTCCTGGGCAGGATTTGGCACGAATGAGGATGACGATTGCCAGGGATTTATACAGGAAGGTCCTAGCAGCCTCTCAAGCCATCTGGACATTCTGATGGAGCCTGGCTTATCTTTTTTTAACATAAACAATATTTTTATTTGAAAGTTTTTTGTGTTAACCCCTAAGGTGCTGGCTAATCTCCAGTTCTTTAGTACTCCTAAAATAATCTGTGCATCTAATGTGTTGGTCTGTCTATTGCATTTTATCTAATCTCTAGTATTTATAGAGAATCCATCATAGTATCAGGGGACCTTGGAAGTGTCATACCTTGGGGACTAGACCGCTTCCAAGGGTGTCATGGAGACATCTAAAGGCTGCTATGCAAAGGAGAGGGAGGGCCTCTGGATGCAGGGAGGTGAGGACAGATCTATATTCAGGCCTTTAGATTCCCAAAGAGCCCTGTCATCATGCTCTCCCCTTAAGAAACCAGCCCATCTCGTAGCTGACTTCATGACATATTCCACTGCCAGTTTCTGACCACTTCCTCAAGCTAGAAACCAGTGAGGTCTGAGGGGGAGTTGCAGTAGGAGGTGAGGCTCGGAACTGTCTTGGAGGCAGTGATAATGGCCCAGCAGCATGTGGCTGTGGGCCATTGGATGAGGCAGGACTTCAGTAGTTGTGGGAGGTTCCAGAAAAGGACTAAGAAAGTGGGAGGAACCTCATTGGGGAGAGAGAGAGTTAGGAGCAGGGAGCCAGGCAGCTGTCAGGCTAGAGGGAGAAAGGATTAAAGAGAAGCCAAATATAGTTGGCTCTCACCTCTCTTCTGAAAATCTTCAGGCTGAGTATGTTTGTCTTCTGGTTCTGAGCAGGGGCGGATATAGGGCAGGGCGAACAGGGCGGCCGCCCCGGGCCCCGCGCTTCAGAAAGCCCTGCGCATGCGCCGTGGCAAAGGGGGGGCCCCGCGGAATTATGCTGCCCGGGGCCCCGCAAAACGGTCATCTGCCCCTGGTTCTGAGTGTTACACAACGGAAGCAACCGGACAAATAATCCATGCATTTGACATGCTGAGTCCTACCCCCTACACTGTCAGGATGGATATAATGGGACTGTGATGCTGGCTTCAATCCATGGAACTCTATGCACGCTTACAGGGTATGATGATGTAACCCAATGTCCCCGTCAGTACAGGATTCCACAGCTCCTACACAAAGCCATTGAAAAAGCCACCAGAATAAGTTAGCGTCATCTGACTTCATGGGAAAATGTACAGGGATATGCAACGGCATATTTTAAAAAATGGGAGAGGAGCTCAAAGACTCACAGGCTGACTAAAAGTCAATCTGTGGTCTAGAAGCATCGTCTGTGTGAGCCAGGGTGAGCTATGAATGGAGCCAACACTTTTATCTGCTAGTGGTGAGGTCATTCTCCACACAAGGTCAACCTGAGGCAGTCAGGGAAGCAGCCTTGATGGCATTTGGGCCTTAGCATAGCCCTTACAATGAAAGGAGGGAGAGCATGATCAGAGCCTTTTCTAAACGGATTTGTTCTGGGCACCACAAAAGAAAGAATACAGTGTCTATGCGTATGTGAAGAACTAAAATCTGACACTGATGTTTGGCTCTGTGGAGGGTGCTGAAATCTGCACACCTTTTAAAAATTAATTGTGCCTACTTTTTATTTATTTCAGATGTACCAGCTGCCTCTCTACCAAATGGAAGTGTTATTGGTGCACTAAGAAATACATGTGTACCTCCAATGACTCTAATTGTGAGGACTCGATAAAGATGAATGTAAGGCACATTGGGGTTTGTTATGTCACATGATTTTATAGATTGCTGCATTGTTGTTGTTATTTTCTGCCTTTTCCTGGAGCAATTTCCCATGTTGACCAGATGCCATTGGGTTTTAGAATATTTTACTGACTATATTTGGGGTCAACTGGGGGACAGTCTCACAACAGCCTAGTACTCAAGAGACTGAGGCTCTGTTCCTGGGTCTGTCACTGACTTCTGTTGCCTTCAGAAGGACTCTTCTTCACTCTATGCATCAGTTTCCCCATATGTAAAATGAAGCTAACGTTCCTGCACTTTTTAACAAGCTTTGAGATTTGTCAATAAAAAGCTGAGTGTAGGGGCACAGGATATTAATAAGGTCACGGGTTCTGAAAATGCTTCTGTTTGGATGAGTAAAGGGATTCGAGATGGGACACAAAGCCTATCATTGTCTGAATCTCTCTCCAGTTAGCAGCAAGAATACCTAGCATTTGTGCAGCACTGATTAACACCCCTGTGAAGTAGATAAGTAAGGCTAAGATGGTGAAGTGAGTTACCCAAGAGCACACAGAGAGCTTGTAGCAGAGGTGGGATTAAACCGAGCAGTTACTAGTTGCTATATGTGTGCTTGATTATGTGGCATTTCCAGATAGTCACTTGAATGTCGTTACTTTGAGGGCAGGTTTACACTCTGGGGCAAAGCTGACCGAATGTAAGCAACTCTGGAGATGTTAAATACCATAGCTGGTGTTGACGTACCTTAGGTCAAGTTACCACCTTCTTCTTCTTGTTCTGGTGGAGTACTGGAGTCAACAAGAGAGTGATTGGCGGTCAATTTAGCAGGTCTTTACTAAAGGATCCCCTGGATCCTTTTAATGGCAGTTTCAGCAATAGACCTAAAAAGTGTATTGAAATAGAGTCTAGTCTACACTCTCCATTCTGGAAGTGGTCTCTAGATTGAAGAGGAGGCATTGCGGGAGAAGCTTAAACTGAGCCGTACCTGTTCTATAGCTAAATAAAGAACTTCAGTTGTCAGGGTGGCCAGTCCAAGCACTTTCATCTGTTATTTTCCGGATTTATTGCCATTGACACTGGTATATGTGTCTGTGTATCTCATAACAAGAGTAAAGAATTGTTCATGTGTGGGGTTCTTTCAATATATGTGTTGAGTTGTCTTGGTTATTTCAGCAAGCTATTTCCCTTGATCCTTTCTTACCATTCAAACTAGATCAATGCTTTAATTTCCACACAGTTTGAGATGCCTGAATTTAAGTAATAAAATAAATGTAGCAATACCTTACAATTCATTTAGCTTTTACTAGGCTATTGTGGTACATTAATGAAATGGCAGTTAACTTGCTAAAGCACGTCTGGGCGAGTGCAGAAAATCGCCTTTATCCAAATTACAGCTCCTAATAACAAGCATAGTCAAACTTCTGAAATTTAGAACTGAAGTTAATTTAAATAAAATTGGCCTTTAGCAATCAATTTATTGGCCCTCAAAGCCAAGCTTTTACATTTTAAATTGAACAGTTCTTTGGCACAAACACTCTGGGCCTCTTTCAAACTCGTTCAGACAGCGATTCCCTTTGCTTGTTACCTTTATACAAGGACCTTGGCCATGTATTAGACTTTCCATTCTTTTCTTCCAGACTTGACCTCCGACATCTAATTGCTTTCCATTCATGTCCCTCCATACCCTGCTTCCCTTTGTGGAAGTCTCTGGAACTCATGTAATTCATCAAAGAAAGGCAGATATGACTGATACATTGCAACATTATCCTATACAGTTCTTTCCATATAAAAACAGTGTGAAAGGCCTCATGCAACTGTTGAGTCACTGCCAGTCAAATTGTTCTTTTGAGAATAATTTTCATTGCAGATTTACCCTTCTTCTCTGCTTGTGACTCAACTGTGAACAGATTTTGATTTTTCAAAATCTCTAAGCAGTTTGTGATTATTAAACGAACAGTATAATTCTGCAGCCCTTGCTTTGTTCAGGACTTGTTCAATTTGGGCCAAATTCTTAAAAGTTCTCAGCACCTAACATACTGAGCTCTTTTGAAAATCTGACCCTTTGACTCTTTGCTGTTCTGCATGGCGTGGTCAACTCAATCATGTGATGTTGTTGCTTATCTGTGACTGAATGAGTATAGTACTGCAAATACACAAGCATCTACTTCATGTCCCCGACCATTTTTGCAGATTGCAGATTGGATGTAGATACAAATTATGTATCTGCTCAGGGCTCTTTGGATAAGAGATTTCTGAAAATGAAAATAAATAAATGCAAACAACTTAGGTCAGTTATGTTAGCAAACCTTATGTTGCTCAAGGATGTGAAAAAACCACACCCCTGAGTGACATAAGATTCACCAGCATAAGTGGCAGCATACACAGTATAGTGTTGACAAGAGAACTTCTCCTGTTCTTTGGGGGTGTTTTAATTGAGCAGTTACATGAGTGATCATACAGCGGTGCAGCTGAAAGGTCTCTAGTGTAGACCTAGCGTTATTCTTGCTCATGTATTTCTAGGTAAGTGTGTCATGTCCTCCGTTAGTGGCTGATCTACATATATTATCAATTTTCTACTGTGACCAGCCAGCAGAGTTACTCCTGCAGCTCAAGCAGTAGGGTCTGTGCTGAAGGCGCTACAGTAGTTTCTTTTCCCACGGGTGATAAGAGTGAAGTTCATTACATTCATGATTATTCTTCTTTCCATGTGAATGCAGGTATTTGAACAAATAGTGAACCTCCAAATATACATGTGAACAAAAACCTCACAACCAAAGGCATTCAAGCATCTGGCACAATTGAGTTCTTGATGCATATATCAAATTAATTCAGCTACCCAAACCAACTGATATTCTACTTTTCTTTTAAAAAATATCAGAAATCTTTTCTTAGAATAACTAGGTTAAAATTAGAACGGCCAGTATGCTCCTGGGAGCATTTGTGCACAGACAGGGAGAGACTGAAGACATTTAACCCAACAAAGTCTTTTCCATTTCTGATTTCCGTGGGTCAGATCTTGAAACTCTTGTCCAGTTTTAACCACTAAGAGTTGTGCCTGAGCAAGGACTGCAAATTAGACTGTCACTGCAGGGATGGGCTCTTTAGAAATAATATACACACACAGACAACATGTGATTCTAAAATTAACCCTTAGTCAGTCTCTCCTCCCAATAAGAGATGCAACTCAGTTCCAAAATAATGAAACTTTTACATTGTGTTCACAATCTTGCTTATATTAGCACATAGTCACATACCATGTCCCACAGAATGTATCCTGGGGTTACTATGAATGAAAATCTTATATGGTCACAAAAAGAATCCAGAGATAAGCTAAATTGGATGAATATTCATAGAATCATAGGCTTGGAAGAGACTCCAGGAGGTCAGAGTACAACCCCCTGCTAAAAGCAGGACCAATCCCTGAGCCTGTCTCCCATTCACAGGCAAATTCTCTTCTGTGGGCCACATTCTGTTCCCAGTGCATCCAGAGCCATTCTGTGAAGGAAGTCATGACTTCAGTGGACTTACTCCTCCAGATTCACATTGCCTTGATGAGAACTAGAGCAGAATTCAAACCTGTACCTTCACAAAGCCTGAATTGTACAGCTCTGAATGCATGGAGGAGAGAAGCACAAAGCCCCAGTCTCATGCTCCTACCCTGTTTCTCCAAGGAAAAAAATCATTCACAGGGCATGTTACACCTACTGCCTAATGGTTTTGCTTTTGCTCCTCTAGGGAAAGTATAGCAGTCTCAGTGACCTCTTCACCATAGCCTCACCTCACAGCTTTTTAGCCTCTAGAATCCTTGGACTGTCAAAGGAACAAACTGTCTGAGTATTAAATTTATCAGATGAGCTCAATGCTGCCAAAGGCAATTGCCTCCAAAAGGGCTCAGTGAGGTGGATCCTGAGGTCCTGCTAGAGGCAAAACTCTCTCTTGAGTCAATGGGAGATTTACCTCAGTAGGGACAGAATAAAAGCTGAGTAAACCTGAGGATTTATCTCCAGATTTGAATGCATCTGAAAATCACTGAGTCTCTTGAGTTCACAGCTGTTACCTACTGAAAAATTTAGAGCAAATTTTCGAATGATGCTTCAGGGATATGAATTTAGTTTTAATTAAGGGAGAAATTATCAGATAAAAAGCATGTGCCAAAGTATACCCACATGTCAGTGCACAATTGCACATGAATATCAGGGCTCTTGCATGCACACAAATGCCCTTTTGCACACACTGCTATCTGATTTTGTTTGCCTAGCTACAGTAATTGTGCGTGCAAATAAAAACATGCACTGTGCTTTCTTTTTTTCCCATTGGCTCATAATACTGATTTAATCATGGAGAATCAAGAATCTTTGCTCAATGGTGAGAGCTAGGGACTGGGAATCCAACCTCTTGGGAGCTGTGTCTGCCCTTACACTGGTTTGCTGAGTGACCTTGTGCAAGTCACTTATTTTTCCCTTTGTGATTCAGTTTCCCCACCTGGAAAATGAAAATAATAATAATACCAATGAGCAGGGCTCAACAGATCACTGAATCTACTCACCCGGGGTGAGTAGATTTCAGTCGGTTGCCCCGTTCACCAGCGGCACGCGCATGCGTAATGCGGGTCTTGCACATGCGCAGTGCGGAGCTGACGAGTAGGTTTTGCCACTGTTTGTCAAGCCCTGCCAATGAGACCTATTTCCTTTTTGTAAAAGTCCTTGATATCCTCAGATGGTAAGTGTTATATAAATGAATAACTGTAATTTAAAAGATTTATGAAGGACTAAACCCCAAAGGTAAAATTTTCAGACTCACCTAACTCTGATTTTCAGAAATGTCTTAGGCATATAGAGCCTGATATTTAAAAGTATTTTGGCACCTAACATCCTAGATAGCACTTAACACCAGTTTAAATGCCTTTTAAAATTTGCCCATGGGTGCCTACATTTCCCCGAAAGTCAGTTAGACTTTGGCTCTCAGGTCACTTAGGTGCTGTTGAAAATGTTACCCCCGGTGGAAAAGATACATCCATCTCCGATCTCCTTATTGCTGCTGAATATTCTATGTACATTCAGGTAGAAGGGACCTGCTGTTCTGCTGACAGTGCCAGGTACAAACCCATGCCCTGAATATACCAGAGTGTGTAGTCTCTGAGGCAATGTCTACACTAGCCACCCTTGTTCAAACTAGGGTGGCAGTATAGACATACCCTGACATCCCACTGATTTCATGGACATGGCAGTGGATGACAGCAGTATTGTAGAGGAGATGATTGAGAATTGGCAACCAACAGGTTAGTCATTTAATGTTTTTAATAATCACTATGTACAACATAGGATATTTCTATTTAAAAGGAAATTCCTGGGGGTTTCTTTAAAAAAAAAAAAAAAACTTAGCAGGATTGGATTGGCTTTTGGATGGAATCTGCAGCTCTGCCCTGAGTCCCTCATACATCCCAACCCTGACTCAAGCATTCCTATCCCCACTGGGCAGACTTGTACATTTCAAAGCTGGCACCCACCCCGGAGTCAGCGGGACTTCCCACTGGCCCCAGGCTGCAAGTGGAGTTCCATATTCCTCTTTTGAAATGTACAAGAGCCCCAGAGGCTCTTGTACATTTCAGAGGAGGAATGCGGAAGTGCCTATCGACTAGTCAAGTAGTCGATGGAAATTCCATCGACTATTCAACTAGTCAGTTAACCACAATTTGACATCCTTAGTTTGCAGATGATACCAAGCGGGGAGGAGTTGCCAGTGCTATGAAGGATAAGGCCATAATTCAGAATGGTCTGAGGTAAACAGGCTGAAATTCAAAAGCACAAATCAAAGTAGGAAGAAACAGTCAGTTGCCCATATACAAAATGGGAAATGATTGCCTACAAAGTACTGCAGAAGGGCATCTAGGGGTCATAGTGGACTACAAGCTAAGTATGAGTCAGCACTGTGATACTGTTGTAAAAAAAGCAAACACCATTCTAGGATGCAGAGGTGAAAGTAAATCAGTGTGCCTGGATATGGCTGTCTAGCAAGAAGCTGGCTGGCTGGGGCTAGCTGCAAGGAGAGGGGCAGGGAGCTCCAAGCCCAGCTCCTGGCTTCCTGCAGGCTGCTGCACTCAGCAGCAGGCAGCCAGATAGGCTAGAGGGGATGGCTGGGGGCACCAGCCTCTCTGGGTCTGCCCTAACCCTGAGCCCCCTCCCCTGCTGCTGTTTGGGGGTTGGGGAGGCTGCAGCAGCACTTACCCAGTCACTGTGTGTTTTTTCCCTATTTGCCTGACTAGGGAGCGAGAAGAAAGTGTAGAGCCTGCTGCATTCCTCTCCCTCCTGGCTGCCATGAGAAGGGACAGAGGAGGAACACAGTAGGCTCTGCACTTTCCCCTTGCTCCTTATTCACAGCAACCAGGGAAAAAACACACAGCAACCAGGAAGTGCAGCTGCAGTCCTTCAGCCCCCTGAAATTAGCTCATAACCCAAACCCCTGTACCCCAATTCACTATCCTAGATCACAATGCAACCCCTTGTACTCCAGTCCAGTGCCCCAGGTCTAAACTGCCTCCTTTACTCAAACTCCCTACAGCCCCCTGCCCTGAATCTTGAATCTGCACATCCCTCTGCCCTGAGGCCAACCCTGACTCCTGCATCCCTGTCCCCAGCCCCCTGCCTTAACTCCTGCACCCCCTACGCATCCCAACCCTTTGCCTTGAGCCCCCCGCAGTCTACCTCACATTTAAATTTCTTACAGGTACTGTTGTATCACCAACCCTCACATACCTGACGGACACACCCAAGGGGGGCAGGTTGTGATAGGATAGTACCTGTAAGAAATTCAAATTATTTTAACTCCTGCTGTGTTAACAGGAGTGTTGTAAGCAAGACACAAGGTGTAATTCATTCTACTCTGTGGATTAGGCCTTAACTGAAGTACTGTGTCCCGTTCTGGGGGCCACATTTCAAGAAAGGTGTGGACAAATTAGAGAAGGTCCAGAGAAGAGCTACAGAAATGATGAAAGATCTATAAAACGTGACTTACAAGGGAAGATTGAAAGAATTTAGTTTGTTTAATCTGGAAAAGAGAAGACTGAAAGGGGGGCCTGATAACACCTGTCAATTATCTAAAAGGTTGTTACATGAAGGAGGGAGAAAAATTCTCCTTAACTGCTGATGGTAGGACAAGAAGCAATGGACTTAAATTGGAAGTTTAAATTGGATATTAGGAAAAACTTCCTAACTGTCAAGGTGACCCTTACTCAGGTTTCCACTGATTTTAATAGAACTTCTTGCAGCGCAAGGTACTGTTCAGATCTGAAACAAAGGCCCTCAGGACAGCGACCTGAGCAGAAATAATGAAACGTTTAGAAATTGTTCCGCATTATGAAAAACCAAGCACCGATGGCATCTCTGCTAAGAAGCAAATGCAACATCAACCAGAGCATTTTAAAAATTCAGGCCCTTCTCCCTAATCCTGCATTGAAAGTTCCCTTTCCAGCCACAGGAGAAGGACTGTGGGACAACCAGTTAATCAGCCCTGTGACTGTATTTATCTGCCAAACCAAGCCGAGCCAGCTGCTGTGACATGCAAGGACACACAAGACCATAGGAGCTTTCACATAAATTTTCAGTCTCTGTCTGTATTTGTTTTAACTCTTTTCACTCAAGGAGACTATGGATTGAAATCTCCCTTAAACCCTTTTCATTGTTGTTTTTTCCTCTCTCCCCCGCTCCTATGTCTCGCGCTCTGTTATTTAATCTTCATGATGAGGCAGCACTGACTGTGCTTGGATAAGATCAGTGTCGTGATAAGAACTGAAACACGTTTTCCACAGTCAAACAAACACTTTAAGATAATTCATTGACCCTGAAGCCATGCTTACAAGAGTCTGGAGAGAGGCACTTTAAGTGCTAAGACTTCCCAGTGCACATGGCTTCCAGAACTATGAAAATGTTCAGCGATGTGTCTTAGTGTTACACAGCCTGATTCTAATTCCACACTGGTGTAAATCAGGAACAGTCCATGGAGTTACAATGGAGTAAAGCTAGGATAAGTAAGAAGAGAATTACACCCTTTGTTATAAGTTATTCTGAATAATAAATCAGATATTCTGTCGCCACTTGCACCAGTGATTCTATTGTGAAAGGCATTGTCCTGGATATACCCTGGGGTAACTGAGAGAAGAATCTGGCCCAGTTTATTGCTGCTGTTTGCAGTGTAGTTTACATCTCATGAAAGAACAGGATGGGTTTGTCATAAAAATCTGGGCTTAGAGTCAGATAGTCACTCCCAAGTGATAAGAAAAATGGGGGAGAGGAGGATATAGAATGGATGACATTTAAAAATCATTTGTCAGTTTCACTTGGATCTTTAAAACGGGTGGGGAACCTTTTGGGGTCTGGGGCAGCAGACTCACAAAAAAATCAATCAGGTGGGAGGCAGTGGGGGCTGGAGTGCCAGTGCAGGCTCCCCAAAGCTAAGGGGGAGGAGACCTGAGCTCCAGGGGCCGCATCTGGCCTCTGGGCATTCGGTTCCCCACCCCTGCTGTAAACTCAGCCATTCTGTTTTGGCTGTTCCCTCCCTAATGCCTCTTACAGCACTGTGTAGCCCCTCCTTCCTCCTCATTCACACACTCACACTCTCTTGTATGCACACCTACTCCTGAAATACCAATGTGCAGAGGAGACCATTGTAAAGTGAAAGCTAACAACAAGTGCACTGCAATATACAAGACATTTTGCTTTCTGCTGACAGGAGAGGGTTTCAGAGGAATCACTGCCATTGTACAGTGTCTTTTGAGTGTCCCTCTGCCATTTTCCTAGCACTAAAGTGACTAATAATGAGGCTGTAGTAACAGCTTCAGAGCAGCACCTGATGAGAGCATATGATTTTGCTTTTGATTTATAGTTTTGTTTTTTTTTACTGTGCAAATTGAAGTGTCCTAGATTGACAGGCCTGTCATAGGGAGTCAGAAGTCCTCTATAACTTCTGAGCAGGTACTGAAGGTGAACATGCAAGAGGAGATAAGAGAGTTGTTTCATTTTCATTCCCAGCTGGTCTTACTGAGACCACCATGCAGGGTACCAGTTAGTTAGCCTGCAGGTAGCTGGACTGTGGTGACCATCTTGTTGCTACCACACAGCCATCACCTGGTATTGATTTTTAGTCACCACCTTCTTAGATTAGACTTCAAGTGGTGACTCAGTGGCAAACGGCCAAGGTCACATTCCCAGTCCCACAAGCCAGGCAGTCTCCCCAGAAGCATGGGGTCATCTTGTATTTTCACTTAGTTTAGGCTTCAGCCTGAAAGTGACTTTTTCATAACTTCTCTGTGTTTCCTTCTGTCTCTGTGTGAGAAGGAGGCTCAGTATCTTTTTTGCAAAGTTTCTCATTAACCTTTCTTTGTTTTCTTGTCTTCTAAATTATAGAGCACCACTGACTGTACACAGATTGTGCCTGCCTTGCTAGAGCCAATGCCCACCGGGGCTTCTCAGGACATCACAATTTCACTGGCTAATGCTGCTTTCTCCAAGGTAATTGGATTTTTAGGCATAGCAAAAGGTTCAGATGAGCTAATCAAGTGGCATATAAGTCCAAGAGCCACACTACTGGATTCTGCTAAGGGAGTGCCACCCTCTGCCCATACAGGAATGATCCTCAAAGGTATTCAGGCACTTAACTCCCCTTAAAATTGAATCCTAAGCATCTTACCCATTTCCACTTTGCAAAATAACGGTAGTAGCAGAGGGTATTCATGGAAAGGAGCCACCTGAGTGGGGAGGTTGAAATAGAAAAAGCAAAGGGAAAATTCAGGTTGCATACAGATGTTCTCTAGGGACCTGTTATAGTTAATGCCAGACCTTTCATGGCATGCATGCAATATGTGGATTTATGCACATTGTAAAATGTCCACTAGAACAAAATGTGTGGGAGAAATAAAATTCACACTTTTTGCGGATCTGTTTTCCATGTTCCACTCTGTGAGTGTGCAGGTGTCTGGCTTCCTCGAGGGAATGCTCACCAAGCTGTGGGCTGGGCAATCCCCCGGCCCTGCTTCTGGAAAAGAAAGAAACACTATTAAAAAGGAAAGAAGACCAAGTTAAGGACAGAAAGCCCTGCACTAACCAGACCTTGGGTTGGACTTCAGCTCAGAAATATATTTTAACTTCACTTTAAAAAAAAATTATATATATCCCTTTCGGTGAAATCCTTTGGCATGCAGATGATTGCATAGGGCAAACCATTGCAGTAGCCACAAAGTGGCGCATTCTGGATGTGTTGTAGGAAGGGACAGAGAAGATAAGAGGGTGGGAAATATTTTAATAAATGCTGGTATTTATTGTGTTCTATTGGCAGGTTCTCATGTGCTGTGTGCAATTGTGGGCCTAATTCATTTGCACAGTTACCACAGGAGCTCATGCCAATGCGGAAATGTACATACTAATAACCAGTTATCTTGTCTTTTATTCCGAGCGATGAGCGGATCATGGGCATGTCTTCAGGCATAAAGGGCTTGGGCAGCAGGCGTATGCAGTATGTAGGGCTGTGATGTTAATAAAGCTTTGGGAAACCCTTGTTCTGTACATCACACCAGGAAAGAAAACTGTTCTCTACTGTAACTTGGTTGCAGTTTCCTGCCTAAGGTCTGGCATTTGTAAATAAGGATGTGCCCCGTATTGTCAGCAACATGGGAGAAAATCCAGCTTCCTCTGTGGAGCCACAAGGTGGCTAAAGAGGAAGACATAGCACATGTAACCTGATGGTAATGAAGTAAACAGGAAGGTTACTGAGGCACCTCAGTCCCCGGGGGCAGCCCAGACAACTGCCTTGCAGTTTGACTTCCTCACTCCTCCAGTCTGCAACATCCTACTGGACAAGAGTAGTTCTGTAATCCTCTGGAGGAGCTTTGTAACTCCTGATCATTCCCGCACAGAGGGGATCTAGGAAGCGAGATCCATTGCTGCAGCTATTGAGACTGATATTGTGTTAACAAAAGAGAATGAGAGTATGGATTGGTTTAGTATATGTTACTTTGGTGTAATGATTCACAGCGAAAGGATTTCAACCTTGCTCTTGTTACCACATGTGTGCTTTGCAGGCCCGTACACAGGAATTTCTGAGCGGGGAGTGCTTTTTTTGTAAATGTGGACCACAATTTTTTTAAACATAAAGGAGTTCAAAACAGTCATGCAATGAGTGTGTATAAGAGGGGTTAATGAAAAATTTGAGTGTAAACAGTGATTGGTAAAATGATTTTGTTATTCAAACACACACTAACTCTCTCTCTCTCTCTCTCTCTCACACACACACACACACACACACACACACATACACACACACAACCACGCTGTAGCTCGCTGAGGGACATGCATATGAGTTTTAAGGTAACATGCACAGCCAAGCGAAGGCCTAGCAGCCATGTAGAAGGGATTGCTGCCTTCCAGTGACCCCAAGGAGCTATTTAGCTGCCTGCCCCAGAGAAGCTACTTTGAAACCAGCTGATCCAGGGCTCCACAGGGCGCTGTCACTTTGAAAATCTGGGAGGAGCCTGATGCTGGGCTCCCACAACAGTGTTTCAAAGCAGCAGCACCACACAGAGCCTGGGGCCAGTGGGGGAGTCCCCAGCTAGCATGTCACTTTCACCTTTAAAGAGTCCACATGGCGCTTTCACCTTCAAAGTGTAGCAACAGCTGTACATCCCTAGTCTTTAACGCAATTTTAAGATTGCAATTTAACATCCCTAGTCTTAACTAGACTGCTAAATTGACCACCACTGGATTGATTTCAGAGCAGTGATCAGAGCTATATTATATCTATTGGTAACTCCACTGATCCAGAGAGTTACTTCTGATGTTCACAGGAGCAAGAGATCAGAATCAAGCCCGGCAGCTCCATTCATTTCTGACTAATGGAAAAGTATATTATTGCAAATACTCTTCTCTTGCTTTTAGGACACTGTTTTGGAATGTCATTTTGGAACTGAAAGGACATTTGAAGCCAGATGGGTGAATGCTTCCACCGTTCAGTGCAGCAGTGTTCTGGTAAGTGTCTGGGTAAAGGATCTGCATGGCACTCTGGGTTTTATTTCAAACGGACATTTGAATAGGGCCCATCTAATCCCCCCCAACATACAACAAATAAAACACCCCTTCCCCTCAAACAGTGTAGAACTGGATAGGAAACAAAGCGGCTGTTAGCATTGCCTGAAAGATGCCCCAGAGTGCTCTTTGCATATCCTGATGGCTGAGGAGAGCATTCCAGTGTCACGGGCACTCTGCTTCCTGTCTTCTCGGCATTTTCCATTATCCCATGGGACTGTCTAGCAGCTCTCACCCACCCCGTCTCAGTGTTAGCATACTAGTTGCTAGCATGTCCCAATACACTTCACTGACCTCCTTTAGAGAATTCCTATTACAGGGTTCACCTAATCCTGTTGCTTCTAATCTTCCCATAGGCAATGCTCAGTATTGCAGGAAAGAGCGTTTTGTCACTTGGGGCTCAGTCTTGAGAGGTGCTGAGTCCCCTGAATTCTTGTTGGTTTTAGTGGGAGATGAGAACCCTCAGCATCTTACAGAATTGAGCCTTACGAGGACTAATCATGCCTCCGCTGGAGTCAAGGCCAAAAAATCCCCTAAGACTCAGTGGGAACAAGATTTTGCCCTGTATCTGCTGAACATATGTCATAGGTTTGTGAAGAAACCATATCAGCTGTGGGGATGGTGGCGAATTTATAACAGTCGGGAAGAAAAAGATCCAGGAGCTGTGGCCTGACAGTAATCCCTTATTTACATACATTAATCTCAGTATCCATTGGTAATAGCCCGAAAACATCCAAGTTTCCATAGTATCACTATAGCGTTAGGTGCTATCCCGGCAGAACAGGGTTCTGACAGAAACATTTTAAAAAGAAGATTACAGGGAAAGTTTCCCCTAAACATATATTTTGGTGGAACATTTTAAAATACGTAGACAGGGCAGACTGTTACATTTTTGTGCTCATTTCCATTTAGAGATCAGCAGACACAAACTCCTGTATTAAATAATGTATCCACAGTGGATGGTTCTGTGTTTGCTCCATGAAAATAATTGAGGACAGAAAAAATACTCCTTTCCGTTTTCCCTGCTTTCCCTATTAAAGATTAGAGCCTTTCATTCTGAGAAACAATGCTAGAAAGTATATGAGCATTGTAATAATGAAGCATGATAATCCTCTCATATATGTGTGTATGGGCTTGTGTGTGCAGGCGGTAATCTGCTATTTTGTAAATTTAATTAGAACGTGTTCATTTCTTTTCTCATGCAGCTCCACACATCAGAAAAAAGCCATATCTTCCCGGTAAACCTTCAGCTGAAGGATAAACCAGACAGATTCATTGATAGTCCACAGATGATGACAGGTTTGGGCTGAAGATATTTTTCACTCTGCTCTAATTTGGTTAGAATAAGGCTCCTAAAAAGCTAACAAGACACGAGAGTCACGAGAGAGAGAGTGCTCTGGGTATCAGAAGTATGCACACATTTCACCCCCAGACAAACATGAATACACAGCTGTAGACATAAATCCTGCACACACACATCACATGCACACATATACACACACATCACTCTCAGGCTAATACTACAGTTTAGACTGCTTGCTTGTCAGTAGTGTATAGAAGAGAACATTCTGAAATAATAGATCTCAACAGAAAATGTGAAGTGTCTTCCAGGGTCATTGAAGGAATTTAGCTCAAAGGAGATAAGCATAGATCGGGGAGGTCCCTTGCAGAAGTTTTTATGGGAACTAGGATCAACATTTAAAAAATTTAAAAATGCACTTTTAAAAAAATCTTGAGAAGGAATAGAACGTGTGAACACAATTCCCCTCGATCCACGCTGTATCTCTGGGAAAAATACAAGGGTTCTTTCAAAAGCTCCTTGCTGCATCTGCAAACTAAACAAGGAGCCAAGAAGTCAGATTAAAGCATACCCAAACAGTGGGAGAGTAGTGGAGCCCTGTTCTAGGCAGTGCCCTTGTCTCCTCGGCAGTGCAGTGTGCAACAATACAAGGTCTGGTTTCTAAAGTGCACTGACATGTTGCACATTAATTGGTCCATGTAGATCCTGCTGGTGTACACTAAAGGTTCCCTAGCATGCTTTAGTGTGGTGCTGAAACAGGGCTATGTTAAAGCACACTAAGCAGCTTTTAACATGTATCTGCAGGGTCTACATGGACCAGTTAATTCACAGCCTGTTTGTATGTTTTAGAAATCATACTCCCAGTGGCATTCGTTACCCCATGTGTAGACAAGACACTAGATTAGGGCAGATTAAGATGAGTAGACTGGCCAGCTAATACTTAATTTTCACTTGGTGACTGCCTCCTCTGTCCTGCCTCTCTACCTTTGCCATGCTTTGGATGCTCTAGCTAAACTTGCACTAATGTTGCATGTGGAATCATCTATGGCTATGTCTACACTTCAGAGAAAAGTCGGAAAAAGATACACAAATTGAAAACTGCAATTTGCATATCTTTTTCCGCTTTTTTTCTCAAAAGAGGGGTTTCCGAAATTTGGCCCTTCTACACAGAGCTAGATTTCGGAAAAAACTCCTCTTTCAGGACATCCCTTAGGGTGTGTCTAAACTACATGGCTCCATTAATGGAGCCATGTAGATTAGGCTGATCGGCAAAGGGAAATGAAGCCGCGATTTAAATAATTGCGGCTTCATTTAAATTTAAATGGCTGCTGCGCTGAGCCGACAAACAGCTGATCAGCTGTTGGTTGGCTCAGCGTGCTAGTCTGGACACTCTCGCGCCGACCTGAAAGCCCTTTATTGACCTCCCCGTTATGCCTCGTAGGATGAGGTTTACCGGGGAGGTCAATAAAGGGCTTTCATGTCGGCAGGGGAGGTCCAGACTAGCGCACTGAGCCGACAAACAGCTGATCAGCTGTTTGTCAGCTCAGCGCAGCAGCCATTTAAATTTAAATGAAGCCGCGATTATTTAAATCGCGGCTTCATTTCCCTTTGCCGTACAAACAAATCTACATGGCTCCATCGATGGAGCCATGTAGTTTAGACATACCCTTATTCTTCTCACTGAGAGGAATACAGGGATGCCAAAAGAACACATCCACTTTTTCGGAAACTGTTCCGAAAAAGCTGACGCATTCCTTGGACGCGGCAGAGCTTTTCCGGCATATCTCTGGAAAATGTATGAAATCTGTAGACAGGGCAAATTCTTATCCCGGAAAAGCTCTGCAGTCTAGACATATACCAGCTTTACATCATTGTGACTCCAATGACTTCATTATTGTTGCATCTAGTTTACATTGGTGTAAGAAGAGAATCAGGCCCGTGGCCTGAGCTAAAAGGTAGGTCTTGACTAGGCTGAGAATCAGTGAAACATGTCAGTTGACAGTCAGGTTTCTTGACAGGATATTGCTGGGTGAAAGGAGGTATCTTGCAGAGGAATTAGACAGTGGGGAAAACACTGAAAACTCTGTATTGGAGGGCAGCATGAGTGACAGGCTCTCAGGAGCAGAGCAGTAGTTGCTGGAGGAGATCAGGATGAATGCACTTTGATTTCTTGAACTAATCTTGGTGGTAAGTAACAGAGGGAAAGGGGCAGTGAGCTGGGTTCACATCTCTTCACAATAAAGGATACTTAGGCTACATCTAGACTGCAAGCCTCTTTCGAAAGAAGCTTTTTCGAAAGATACTTTCAAAAAAGCCTCTTTCGAAAAAAAGCGTTTAGACTGCAAGCAGTACTTTCGAAAAAGCAAGCCATTTTTTCGAAAGAAAGCACCCAGGCAGTCTGGATGCTCTCTTTCAAAAAAGCCCTGTTTGCATTCAAGAATGCCTTTTTTCGAAAGAGCACTTTCGAAAAAAGGCGTTCTTTCTCGTAAAATGAGGTTTTCCGCCGTCGAAAGAAAAGCCGCGTTCTTTCGATTTAATTTCGAAAGAACGCGGCTGTAGTCTAGACGCAGGTGAAGTTTTTTTCGAAAAAAGGCTACTTTTTTCGAAAAAACCCTTGAGTCTGGACACAGCCTTAGAGTGTTGTTGGGATCAGAAAAGACAGAGGGAAACTCCTGTAGCCTCCTAAATCACAGAGTCCGTCAAAGAGGATTGAATCCACATCCCTAGTTGCATGAAAGAATGGTTAGTTTATGCAGCCCAAGTTTGGATTCAAGTTCTCATAAGTCAACCTCTCTACCTGCCTCTCTTGTTCCACTCTACCTAAGTCAGATTGCTTCAGAGGGGTAGCCGAGTTAGTTTTTAGCTGGAAAAAACAACAAATAGTCTTGCAGCACCTTAGAGACCAACAAAACATGTACAGGAAACCCCTGAGATGCGACCGCTCGAGTTGCGACCCTCAACGTATGTCTTTGGCCCATATTTACAACAGTGCACAACGCCTATCGTAAATGAGGGTTCGAGTTATGACACCCCCAACTTGCAATGCTTCCCTAGGAACCGATCGCGTTGAAAAGGCAGGGGCAGCCTCTACACATGGGGCAGCCGGTACACATGGCATCAGAAGGCTTCGTGGTGGGCACAACCCGCTTCTTCAGATGAGTGGAGTGATTAAAAGTCCAATATCTAAATAAATAGAGGATTGGGGGAGAAGGAAAAAGAAGGGGTAAAAAAAGGGGAAAGAAATAGTCAGAGCGTCCATGTTACATGAAGCTGATAGAGAAGGTACAAATTGTTCTTAAGTACCCATTGTTTAGTTTTTTTATGTCATTAGGATGTGGAATGTAGCAAGCCATTCAGCCAATGTCTCTATTCATACCTTTGTGATAGGAATCAAACCTTCTAAATGAAGTTAAGTTCTAAGGCTTCCCTGTGGAGTTGGTTTGTGAAATTGGCCTGAAACAATATGGTGTCTTTGAGATCCATTACTGAGTGCCCAAGCAAGTTAAAATGTTCCCCAACAGGTTTCTGTGTGTTGCCTCATACGGTATGTCTAGGCTGCACCCCATGCCAGCAGAGGGATGCAGATTAGGCCAATCGAAATTGAAGCGGGGATTTAAATATCCCGTGCTTCATTAGCATAAAAATGGCCTCCACTTTTTTTTCGGCACGGAGCTTTGTTGGAGAAAAGCTGCAGTCTAGAGGATGATCTTTCACTAAAGAAAGCCTTTTCCAATAGATCCCTTATGCCTCGGAGGTATACAGGATCTATCGGAAAAGGCTTTCTTTAGTGAAAGATCAGCCTCTAGACTGCCGCTTTTCTCCGACAAAGCTCCGTGCCAAAAAAAGTGGTGGACATTTTTATGCTAATGAAGCACGGGATATTTAAATCCCCCGCTTCATTAGCCATTTCGACCTGCCTAATCTGCATCCTTCTGCCGGCAGAGGGGTGTAGTCTAGACATACCCATAGAGAAAGAATGAATGGACACAAATCAGATATCCGAAAAAGCAACACACAGAAACCTGTTGGAGAACATTTTAATTTGCTTGGGCACTCAATAATGGATCTCAAAGACACCATATTATTTCAGGCCAATTTCACAAACCAACTCCACAAGGAAGCCTTAGAACTTAACTTCATTTACAAGTTTGATTCCTGTAACAGAGGTATGAACGAAGACATTGGCTGAATCGCCTGCTTACATTCCACATCCTAATGACATAAAAAACCAAACAGTGGGTACTTAAGAACAATTAGTACCTTCTCTATCAGCTTCATGTAGCATGGACGTTCTAATTGTCTATTTTCCCCCCTTTTTTCTTTTTTTTTCCTTTTTTTCCCTTCCGTCCCTCCCCCCCATTTATTTAGATATTGGACCTTTAATAACTCCACTCATCTGAAGAAGTGGGCTGTGCCCACAAAAGCTCATGATACCATACATGTTTTGTTAGTTTCTAAGGTGCTGCTAGACTATCCGTTGTTCTTTAAGTTTAGTCAGATTGATACATCTTAAGTGACAGAGAGTAGTTACAGACCAACACCAAAATGCACAGGTCTGTACACCAGTATAACTCTTCTGTTGGCCTTAGTCAAGCTACTTTTAATTTTCCCAAAGTTTATTGATTTTTTTTCTACCTTTCGTTATCAGTCTTTATTCTAAATCATGTCTCTGTCTCTAAAAATACCAAAGAAAATTTAAGCCCACTACCAGAATCCAGTGTGGCACTCTAAGTCAGGGTACTAAGCCAGCAATTCTTGCATAGAAAATGGGAAATGTTTATGTATAATTGTGAGGATTCAGTAGTCTAAGTATAGGTAGATTATTGCAGTATGTGTGGGGGAAAAGGCATTGGAACCCAGACAAAAAAAATGTACAGCACTTTGGTTCAGTGGTTAGAGCAGGGAGACAAGATTCCTAGGTTCTTTTACTGTCTCACCTCTGACTGGCTCTGTTACTTTAGGCTGGTCACAGGGGTCTGTGTTTTCAGAAAAGCTCATATATTTTAGAGGACTCCATTTCAGAGTGTTCATTTTTAGGCAGCCAAGATCTGATATGGCAAAATGCTGAGCATGTAGAATTCCACGGAAGTCAGTAAGAGCTATGCATGCCCCTGTATCCAGGCTCTACTTGTTTCAAGTAGAGGAACCCAAAGCAGAGGAACCCAAAATCAGTGTAGCCCCTAGTGCCTTGGTTTCCCTTCTGTAAAGAGATAATGGATCTACATCTGAAGACTGAGAGGATTAATTAATTGTATGGTAAAGTTCTTTGAGATTCCCCTGGTGAAAAGTGGAAGAGAAGTGCTATTCCTAAATGTGATTATTTTGGTGTTTCACATGTTCCTGCAAACATGTGGATTTGAGGGAATGGGGAAGTGAACATGTATAACTGAACATGTATAACTGTTGATTCATAGACTACCCATATTCAGTGACTAAGGGCTTGAGGGTTGAGAAGGTTACGTAACATAGGCATCGCTAATAAAGAGGTGGAAGCACTGTAGGAAAATCATTAGGCAGTATAGACAAACAGACCTAACAGGAGCAGTGAGTCAAGAGAGCTCATAGCTGCCAAAGGGAAGGAACGGTAATGTAAACATTGTACAGAACATTGTAACAATTAGATTTTTTGTCACAGAAAATGGAATCAGTGTGATTGCTTTGTAGCTGGATGGAGTCAGCTATGCCAATCTGCTTCCCATGTGAATACCGAGAATTAAAAAATGTAACATAAACTGACAAAAGGGTTGTGGGGTTTTTTTATGCTAAATCATATTGTAGTGGGAATGAGTGCCCAGTATTTCTGGGAAATCCTTAGGATTGCAGCCAAAGCCCCTTCAGCTTGTGGTATGTGCAAACCATCCTTCTCGCCTGTTGGCTTTCATATGTTGGTTGGGTTAATATATGCATTTGGTTTGGTGTTTGGTTGTACAAAGTTAAGCACAGACACGAAATGTCCAGGCTTGGGAACTCACACTTTCCGTTGTCTCTCGTGGTTTAGTGGAGGTCTATAACTGTGCAACTGGAAGTGCCGACTGCTCTCAGTGCCTTGGGAGAGAGGACCTGGGGCACCGATGCATTTGGAGTGAGAGCAGCTCCATTTGCAGACTAAACACTGAATCCTCACAGATCCCAGTTGTGTGTCCTGCTCCAGATATTAGGAAGGTAAGACTTATGTGCATCAGAGAGAGCATTCTGCTTGTCAGCATCACTTCATATAAATAACACAACCCTGAGTTTCAAAACCCAGGGGAGAGTCATCTGCTACCCTCCATTCATTGGGAGCAACTGAGAAATCCTGCTTTATCCTTGACACGGAACAAGCTCAAGACTGGCAACATTCTGTTCACCAATTTATGCTTCCCATTCACCTGAACATTCCAGAGTAGCTGCAGATGATACCTAGGTACTGATGGATCCAGTCTGGATCTCTCTGTTGGGAAAAACAAAACATGTCTGTCCAAGGCCATGTGTTGTTTTGTGGAGATGGGAAAATCAGATGGATTCATATGGTAATGTAGGCATACCGCACTTGCAAATGAAGCCTGGGATTTGAATTTCCCGGGCTACATTTGCATAAACCGGGCGCCGCCATTTTTCAATCCCGGCTAGTTCGAACCCCGTGCTACGTGGAATGAGGAGTACAGCTAGTTCAGATTAGGAAGCCTAATCCAAACTAGCTACTCCGTGCCGCGTATAGCCGCGTGGCACGGAGTTCGAACTAGCCGGGATTTAAAAATGGCGGCGCCCGGCTTATGCAAATGAAGCCCGGGAAATTCAGATCCCGGGCTTCATTTTCAAGTGCGGTATGCCTACATTACCCCGCTAGTTCGAATTAGCGGGGTAGTGTAGACATACCTTGAGTGATTTTGCAGAATCAACTAGAAGATTCACTGACTAGGAATAGTCACTAGAGTGGATACAGAAAAAATAATAACTTGCACCCAAAAGTCCATCCTTGCATTCTCTGAAAGTTCACAGTGGCTGAATGAACTTTATGTCAGTGTGTTTTAGAGATGGTCCAAAGTCTAGATCTGGATTCCAACTTACTCGCTGTTCTGACACATTCTTGAATCCTGGGTTTTGATTAGAGATGGGGCACTAGCCACTAACTTCCACTCCATATACAAAGTCCCAAGAAGTGTGTATATTTGGGAATACCAAGATCAGCTTCATGCAAATAGGCAAAAATCTGAAGAGAAAAGATCCAATAGAAAACAGCTAGGCTACGTCTAGACTGGCATGATTTTCCACAAATGCTTTTAACAGAAAAGTGCTTTTGCGGAAAAGCGTCCGTGCCAATCTAGACGCTCTTTTCCGCAAAAAAAGCCCCGATCGCCATTTTTGTGATGGGGGCTATTTTGCGCAAAACAAATCTGGGCTGTCTACACTGGCCCTTTTGCACAAAAGCTTTGCACAAAAGGACTTTTGCCCGAACGGGAGCAACATAGTATTTCCACAAGAAGCACTGATTTCAGACAGTAGGAAGTCAGTGTTTTTACGGAAATTCAAGCGGCCAGTGTAGACAGCTGGCAAGCTTTTATGCAAAAGCAGAAAAACTTGCCAGTCTAGACACAACCCTAATGAATCCACCAAAGCAAGGGATGACTATACATCTGTTAGCTCATAAGCTGAGTGCTGTAACATTGTGTGTATGTATTGAGTGTTTCCTGTAGCTCATTCCATCTTGTCACTATCACAGGCCCAACAGTGGGAAGGAAATGTTCTCTGATGAGCCTCCCCCGCCCACATATAAAATATTATCAGCCCCTTGCCAAAAAAATAATGGAAACAAACCACAAGAATTGAGGTTTCAGGATGTCATGGGATTGTCGTGCTGTTTCCTTAGCAGACACTGGACACTGAATCTAAATCCTCTATCACAAAAACATACAGTTTTGCTGTAGTGCTTAGAGAGTCAACCTCAGGAGAAGGGGGACAACTGCATAGGGAAGGGGCACAGAGCTTAGTAGTGGAATATTATCAGCTCTAACCAGCTTGACAGAAGAAGGAGCCTCCGTTCTTGACCTTCCACCTCCTGGCTTACGTTATGTTGTGTTGGCAGCAGCTACAGTGAGTGGCAAGCTGCAAATACACTCTGAGGAATGCTGATGTTACCAGGCAGCTTTTGCTGGCTTTGTTTGTGGATAAGTTTGTTAAATGTAAAGGGCCTTTTCTAAGGGCAGGGTATTTAACTAGACTAGACGAATAATGAAATCAAAGCAGCCAAGTGGTCCACTGCAAAACACACAGTGACAAAGCAAATCCATGGATATGCAGTAAAATGGCAAGACAGCCTGTGGCCCTAAAATTGCTTGCAGTGACCCCATCCCAACTAAGCAGGGGATGTAATATTCAGACTACAAAGAAACAAAATGATTCAATAGGAGGCACTCTGTTTTCTGACTCATTCAAGGCAGTAGTGCCCCAGCACAGTGTTAGGGAAGGGATACTTGTGCCCTGACCAATATCCAACTTCTTATGTGTTTGTTTATTTGTTGAGCCCAAAGGCCCCAGTCAAAGGTCAGAACCCCATTGTGCTAGGCACTGTCCATACACATGCACCAAGGAGGCGGTCCTTGCGTGGTAAGCTGGAGCGTGAAAGGCAGGACAGATTGAATAGAGTGTACATACACACATAGGAACTGATGCTATTTGGGAAACAAATCCGAAGGTTTTTCTGTTTTAACCCATTCCCCTTTTCCTTTGGCTTCTTGGCAGATTGAGCCCATGAGTGGGCCCCTGGAAGGAGGAACTCTGCTCACAATCAGAGGAAGGAACCTGGGCCGTAGGTTCAGTGATGTCGTTAATGCTGTCAAGATAGGGAGTGTGAGATGTGCGCCACTTTGGGAGAGATACATGGTCTCAGAGGTGTGAGTAACTCAGTCAGAGCCATTGAAAAGCAGGAAACTGTGCTTACCGTTATTTATTTTTTCCCTTTTACAACTAGCCAATTCTCTCCTGTCCCAGTGACGGCTGGGGGATGTTGATAGTGACCCATTCAGTTATGCATGCACCCATATTGGGGACTGATACCTACCATCATTGAGCTGCTTTTCAACCTAATGAGACAAGTTTGGTGGAGTCAGTTTTGCTTCCCAGTGTCTACATGACGCATAAAACCCCACCCCCACAACAGGCATTTATTGGCCACTTCTTAGCAGTCTCCCCCAAAGACTGAATGGGCCAAGGAGACTCCCAGGGAAGGGCAGAGGCCTATGGGTGGGAGAGTATGGGTGATGTTTGCACAGCTGCTGCCTCTGGAGAACCTGTTGAGGGACTGAGTGGAGAACTTTGCCCCTGAGCTGTTAAACCTTTCATTGTCAGTACACCTCACATGAGTACTGTCTCATTTCACTGTTTTTAAAACTCTTCCCATTGCCACTTCAGACAGGCTTCAGAGGAAACCTAAGGTGATTGTCTCTAGCCTCCTTGGGAATGAAATATTCCACAAAAGCCCTCATGGCCTCTCCCACTGCCAGTTTCCCACAGAGATGGTTGTTAGGCTACCAACCAGGAGCAGCAGGTCAGACAGTCTAGAACACTTGTGCGAGAGTCTCCTAGAACCAGCAGTACTGTGCCTAATTGAGAGAGAATTAGATTTTGCCCCTCATGCTGGACTACCTGGACACGACATAGCTGGCCAACCCATTACAGCCGAAGAGCCAAAATAGTGGTGGATACAGCACAAAGAGCTGAGGGGAAAAAAAGTGTTGAGGAGAAAAAAATTTAAAAAGCTCCAGCCGCTGCCCTTTTAAGATCAGAGCAGGCATTGCCCTTTAAGGCGACCATTTTGAAGTCTGCACAGGTGGCCACGACTCTGGCTCTTTCAGACAGAAACACACTGCCCCCTTTCAGAGCTGCGGGTGTGGAAGCCGCAATTTTTTCTTTGAAGAGCCTCATGCGGCTTGTGAGCCACAGGTTGGCCACCTCTATACTTATCTCTGTTCTGACCATGTGCCTCCTTTAATTTTCCACCTCTCTCTCTTCTGCAGGATTGTGTGCCAGACTGGAGAAGTTCCCTCTGCATTTTCCGACGTAGTGACAGTTAACATGAGCAGGGAAGGGAAATCAAGGGAGCAATATTCCTACGTGGTAGGTTGCCATTATCTCATTGAACCTAAATTCCTTGCTGGTGAAGCTCTGATGCGCCACTGTCTTACATGAAGGAAGAACCTGGCTCAGGGAGACAGGAGCCATTAAGCCATGATTTCAACTGTACATTTTATGAGCCTCAGTCTGGCTGACTTTAGCTCCCTTGAAAAGCAAATGCTAAGCAATTCTGCTTTTTCCCCCTGCATGTTAGCCCTCACATCACCATTTCCAGCCTGGAGAGGGGCACATGTCCATAGAAGTTTGCCGACATTCCATCATTCTATGTCCATATTCTGTGTCCATATTCTTTCCTCCTTGCTTTCAACAGCAGTGCCTACTGCAGGGGTGGGCAATAATTTTTTACCAGGGGCCACTTCAGAAATTTTTGAAGTGGCCCTGGGGCTGCACCAGAAGGGGTGGGGCCTCAGGCAAAAGGGGCGGAGCTAGAATACTTCCCTGCTTTCTCACTCACAGATCATGATTGGTCTGGTTGTGGGGGAGCATGTGAAGTCTTTGCCCTCCCTCCCCCCAAGGTTCCTCCTAGGCGCCCATACCCCTAGGACACTCCCCCTTCAGCCCTCCAGGCCAATCAGGGCTTGGAGCTGGGGGGAAGCACACAAAGTCTCCTCTCGCCCTGCCAGAAGCACTGTGTTTTCCTTGCAGGGTGGGGGCAGGGAAGAGAAAATTTGTGCACTTCCCCCCACCCCCAGGCCCTGATTGAGCTGGGGGCGGGAGAGCAACAGGGCCTCTGCAGGCCAGATCAACCCGCTTGGTGGACCGGATCCGGCCCATGGAGGCCCTTTTGCCCACCCCTGCCCTACAGTATGTATACCAAACAAGGTGGACCATCTTGGGAAGCATAGGGTCTCCCAGCTGTTCTCTTTCTCTGTTCTTCCTTGTTTCCATTTTGTTACTATTCCCATAGCCCTTGCTCTGTTTCCAGCTGTGAATTTGAGATCTACACATGGAGGTCAGATTGCATGGTTCTTTATACACAGGACTCCTTATGCTCGTCTGAAAAAAATCAGTGTGCCCCACAAACGGTTTAGAAAACAAGATCCATGCCAGAAAACATCAGACAGCCCCTGCAGCACATTTAAATGTGTTCTCCCAGTTAAATGAACAAATGTCAAATAAATCCAAGATTGAAAGTAAGAATTGGGGCAGTTTTGCATCGGGGCACTTGTTGAAGCAGTGTGATGTGTTTTGAATTAGGAGACTGTTGATAATTGTACGTTCAATTACCTGACCACCCTTTGGTTAATTTATGAAATATATTCAAGAGACCAAAAAACCAATGTCAGTCTCATTTACTGCTAAAAAAACAATAATAATGTAATACAGGGAAAAGGTTCAGTACGATACAGGAAGCCAACTCACGTAGCATTGTTTCCTTCATCTGATATAGAAGGTGTGCTTCCAAAGTTGTGACCCTTAAGGCTATCCCTTTTTATGCAGTCTATTTACAAATAAAAGGCATTGTGTACATCATCCAAAACTAGATTTAACCATTCAGGGTTTTTATCTTGTTTTGTTGTTTCCATCGTGTTCCCTGTTTCTCTATTTTGAACATATGCATTCCAGGTACCAAGGGGCATGAGGGCACCTCCTAGATTTTTACCAGGGTAGAACAATATATCTATTCCTTTTCCATTGGGAGATTCTAGCATTCACTGGTGAGAGTAACTCTTTACCTGTTGCTATGGTAAAACACCCATATGTCCAGATTCTAAGCCTTTTTCAGCTAATGAGAGGAATTATGGAATATTTGACACTGTTAAACAGAATTGTTTGACGTGTATAATACATTCAGGCTAGGTCTACACTGTAGCCTTTTTTTTTGGAAAAAGCTACGCAAATTGGCCAAATGGCGGAAAGACCTCTCCTTTCAGAGGAGCCCTTATTCCTCGTTGAACGAAGTATACAGGGCTCCCCGAAAGAGAGCATTTGCTCTTCCACAAAGAAAAGTGGAAGAGCAAACACATTCCCTGGACAAACCCCGCAGTCTAGACGTATCCTCAGTTAAAATAACTTCCAAACCCTTACATCAGTGGTCCCCAACCTTTTTGTGTGGCGGGTGCCGCACTGGTGGGTGACGTCATCCCACTGTGTCGCCTGGCCGGCCGGTCCCGTGCCAAGTACACTGGCGCCAGACCCCCCCCCACCACGGCCATTTTGCTGCTCCGGACCGGCCGCCCTGTTCCTGCGGCTTCCCTGTCGCACTCCCCAGCAGGTTCTCCCGCTGCTGGCACTTACCCACGCCCCGTCACGGTGCGAGTTCGGCCCCACTGCACGTGCGGCCCATCCTCCCCCGGCCATCCCGCGTCATGACCCCGACTAGGCTGGTGCACATAAATGCCCCAGTGGGCACCGTGGCACCCATGAGCACTGCACTGGGGACCACTGCCTTACATAATACTAGGCCTAACATATGTGTTAGTTAACAAGACCTAGGTTCTAATCTCAGCTCAGTGATTTGCTATGTAACCTCTCAATCAAGTATTTAAACTCAGATTTTTTAAGGCTAGCTGTGTGCAGGTATAGTTGTCAGCCTGTGAGATGTATAGCAAGTGTTTTGCAAGACCTTTTCTGGTTAACATTGTACTGTAGCCCAGAGAGATGGTCTTCTTCTATAGCGGTCTGAAAAAGATCAGTGCTTCTCTTACCTTTATTACCAAGGTCGTGTCTACACTTACCGGCTCCATCAATCTACTTCAGCTACACAAATAGCGTAGCTAAAGTCTACATACTTGTCTTGGGTGTGGTAAGGTCAGCGGGGGCTGCTCCGAATGATTCACAGGCCAAGTGCATGCTACTTTACTATAGTTCTTCTGATTTCTTCTTTGGTTTTGATTAGAATAGAGTAATTGTCTCAGCTTCTAGAGGCCTGAAATAATATGTCATCTGTCATTATTTTCAACAAGTTTTATTTTGGTTCCCCTCCAGCTCAGTGGAAGTGCACGAGGAACCAAGTGTCAGTAGGTTCAGGTTCCAGTAGGTGTTAGATTTTTCACATCCAAAATGTCCCACAAGGGCAGAGCTAGCTGGGTTACAGGCGTATTCTTGTCATATCATAACGGCGGGCTGCTAATGCTGGTAAGATCTAATAAATTTTCCTGCAGCACTTGGGATTCCTAGAGAATCAGGAGTCTCCAAGATGTATCTGTTGTAATCCAGAAAATTAGACCTCATGGCACATCAGCTGTGTTGCTACATCCAAAATGTCCCACAAGGGCAGAGCTAGCTGGGTTACAGGCGTATTCTTGTCATATCATAACGGCGGGCTGCTAATGCTGGTAAGATCTAATAAATTTTCCTGCAGCACTTGGGATTCCTAGAGAATCAGGAGTCTCCAAGATGTATCTGTTGTAATCCAGAAAATTAGACCTCATGGCACATCAGCTGTGTTGCTGAGGAGACAAATGTGCTCATTCTTTTTAAGTTGTTTTTGGCAGGAAGACATCTTGGGAAACGTGCAAAAGCAATACCAAAGAAACAAAGAAAATGAGCTGCCAGCATCTTGAGCTGGAACCCTGTTCTAGAGAGCACTACATCCTGACCTCTGACCAGATGTTTGGCTAAGGCCACACCTAAGCAGAGAATGTAGGAGAAGCCATTTTTCTACTTCTGTCACAGGAAGGAGGCTGTCTCATCATAGGCCTCTTCCATCAGCCAGGGCTAGGAAATGGAGCCAAAAAATGTGGAAGCTGAAATCCCGGGGTCTGGATCTAAATGAATGTAAAAAAAGTGCAGGTTCAGTAATGACCTACAAAATGTTGGGAATTTTAGCTGAAACAGCAACCATGTTCCACCCCAGAGGTAGTGCAGAGCCTATGGGTGAGGAATCATAGAATCATAGAATACTAGGACTGGAAGGGACCTCGAGAGGTCATCAAGGCCAGTCCTCTGCCCTCATGGCAGGACCAAATACTGTCTAGACCATCCCTGATTGACATTTATCTAACCTACTCTGAAATATCTCCACAGATGGAGATTCCACAACCTCCCTGGGCAATTTATTCCAGTGTTTGACTACCCTGACAGTTAGGAACTTTTTCCTAATGTCCAACCTAAACCTCCCTTGCTGCAGTTTAAGCCCATTGCTTCTTGTTCTATCCTCAGAGGCCAAGATGAACAAGTTTTCTCCCTCCTCCTTATGACACCCTTTTAGATACCTGAAAATGGCTATCATGTCCCCCCTCAATCTCAATCTCACTCAGGAGCTGAGTGATGTGATTCTTCTTTGTCAGTTCTGCTTTTACATAATGCTAGGACAGGGGTCGGCAACCTTTTCAAACCAAAGAGCCGAACTACAACAGAATTCAGAACAAGTGGTCAACAAAGAGCCATATAAGAACGCTCATTTGCATGACTGAAAATATACAACGTTATATTATTGATAATGGACATAATGATTAATAACAGCATAAATGAAATGTACTTGCAGACTTTATTTAATGGGACTTCTGCTGCTGCATCTTTTCACGCATTTCTTTGACATTTACGTCATAACTGGTCAAATCCCACTTAATGCACGCATTTAGGCTGTCTTCTGTCAATCTTATGGCAGGAGATTGCAGATGTGGGGGTGCAGGAATCTGGGTTGGGATGTATGAGGGGCTTGGGGTAGGGGGTTCAGGCATGTGATGGCCTCAGGGCACAAGGTTGGAGGGTGTGGGGTGCAGGAGTGTTGGGAGGCTGAGGATGTGGGGGTATAAAGGGCTCAGGACAGGGGGTTCAGGTGTATGACGGGCTCAGGGTTGGTATGGAGGGGTGCAGGAGTGTTATGAAGCTACAGCCAGATGGGGTTTGGGTCCCAATTGGGGACTTGTTAGCCAGGCTTCATTTTTAAATAAAGTAAAATATTATGTCCAGCACAAAAAGTTTCAACATTATCTTTATTTATGGCAGGGGTGGCAAAGCTTTTTTGGGTCGGGGGCCACTGGGTTTGGGTCAAGGAGGCAGTTGTGATCTGAGGCACGGGATTGGGGTGCAGGAGTTTGGATTGTGACCTAGGGCAGGGGATTACAATGCAGGGGTTTGGGTTGTGACCTAGGGCAGCAGAGGGCTGTGACCTAGGTCAGGGGACTGGGGTGCAGGGGTTTGGATTGTGACCTAGGGCAGGAGGGGATTGTGATCTGGGGCAGAAGATTTGGGTGCAGGGTGGGCCTGGGAGGGAGTATGGGCTCAGGAGGGGGCAGAGTGTTTGCTTATGTAGAGTAGGGGAGCAGAGGGCTGGGGGCAATCGAGGGGCTGGGATGCCAGAGGCAGGCTCTGGCCGGGAGACGTACCAGTGAGACTCCAGAGCAGCAGCCTAGCACGTTTCTCAGGAGCCTGCCCTTCCCTTCTGCACAAGCTGCATGGCCATGTGCTCTGTGACTGTGAGCCTTCGGGGAGGTGGGAGTGGTTCTTCGTGGGCTGCCTGTTCTTGAAACGTGAGGATTACCTGTTGTGTTCCCTCCCTCTGGGGCATCTGGCAGTGGCCACTGTCGGCAGACAGGATACTGGGCTAGATGGACCTTTGGTCTGACCCAGTATGGCCGTTCTTATGACCACCCCAGCTAATGTGGCGGGATTGGGCTGAGAGCTCGAGTGGGTTGCTGGGCACAAATAATCCTTTATGTTATATTTTGTATTGTATATTTTAATATATGAGGCAGGGGCCCCATGTATGGGACAGCTGCTGACAGGCTTTGATCCATTGAAATTAACAAAATAAATACTGTAGAAAGGGAAGGCAATCAGAAACCCCAGGGGAAATGGCTTTGGAGGAATACAATCCATACCAGTGTGTGACAAAGACAAAAAGGGGTTGTAATATAGCCGGACAGTATGGCTGGAACTGACAGGAAAAGGCATTAGTACCATGGGACAGTAAGTGGTTTAACAGTATTTGCAGCTATCAGCTTGCATGTATTTTCCCCAGCCACAGGCAATGATTGTAGTAGGACTGAGGTCTCCATAGTATCGTATGTGTGCTGCACATCTGGCTCATCAAAGATGTTATAGCTCTTCCACAGGGAACCACAGAATGCTCTGTAAAAGGGTTTAAAAATTAATTTTCATACCTGTGGACTGTTCATGCCAGAACAGGAAAGCTACCCAGTGAACTTGTCTTTAGCATTGTATCTGGGAGCCACATGGCATCCATTGGGTTCTCAGTATCCTTTGGGAACCAAAGCCTTGAACCTTAAATCTCTGTAAAATTTCTGCAGATATAACTAATTTACTTGTTAATTTCAGTAGCTTCCAATGGGGAGAGAGGAGGGCAGAGGGAAACATGGAGGGGCAAACCTACCCTACGGGTTCCCTGCTAGGAGCTGTCACCCCTAGAGATCTGGGTTTGAATCCTGCCTATGGGAAATTAATTTGATACTTGATTATCTAGAATTAAATGGTTGCATGTCCTGCTCACAAAACCACCATGCAACATGGCTTTATAGGTAGCCTACCACTCAGGTGGGAGTGGAATATGGGAGGTATTTTCTTTATTTATTGGACACAAACTATTAAATTCAGATCTGGATCCATGCAGTCCCAAGGTTTAAGGGTATTTGAATTAAGGGTTCTCATTTATGCCCATCTGTGGTTTTTAGACTAGGACTCAGGAACAGCTGTAGATTGGAAGTCTGGAGGATGCTTCTCTTCTTCACTTCAGAGAGAGGTTTATGTAGCTTGTCCCTTTGTTTGGAAAATGAGCTAGATAGATCTCTCTCCTTGGTAGCTTTACAGCCCTGACATCATCTGACACTAACATGGACCATGTGTCCACAGGATGGGGTTATTGGGGCTAGGAGACTGCTTAAAAAGCTCACCTTTCTTTCCCTTGTCTTTTTCTAGCTCCCTGAAGTGCAGTCTGTGTTTCCAGATGCAGGCCCTAAAGCTGGAGGCACCAAAGTAACCATCAGAGGACATAATCTCAGTGTAGGATCAGATCTCCGTGTTCTGGTCAATAGCACTAAACAGTGCACAGACCTCATGTAAGTCCGGTCTAGAGATGTCTTGTGCTACAATGTTATTGGGCTGGCACTCAGGACTTGCTTAGACTGGGCGTGGCCAGACTATGGCTTGTGTCCTGCATCAAGCCCAGCCTGTGGGATTACCAGTCCAGTAAACAGTGGGGCTAAGGCAGGTTCCCTGCCTTCCATGGCCCCATGCTTCTCCCAGAAACTGCCAGCTCATCCCTGTGGTCCTTAGGATGGGGGAGCAGTGGGTCTCTGTGCATTGCTCCTGCCTGCAGACACACCCTACGCAGCTTCCATTGGCTGGCAACAGGGAACCATGGCCAATGGGAGGTTCAGGGGTGATGCTTGTGGACAACAGCAGTGTGTGGAGCTACCTGTACCCCTTCCAGGAGCTGCTGCCAGATGTGCTGGCCGCTTCTGGGAGCCATGTGGAGCTAGGGCAGGCAGGGAGCCTGCCTTAGCCCCACTGGGCTGCCATCCTGAAGCCACCTGAGATAAGCAGCACTGGGCCGGAGTCCGCACCCCCTTCCCCACCTCAACCTCCTGCCCTGAGCCTTCTTCATATTGTGTTATGGCGCTATTTCGAAATAACCCTTATCCCTCATACAATGAGGTTTACCAGTTATTTCGAGAGAAGGGTTTTCTCTCGAAATAACTGCGTCTTAACAGCGTCTATTTTGAAATAGCGCCATAATGTGAATATGCATATTTAAATCCCAGCTTCATTTGCAATTTCAAATGTCTTCATTTGCATTCCTCTCTCGAAAGAGGGTGCAAGTGTAGACATTCTCTATGTTGCATCTTGTGTCGTTTCAGTTGTAAGCTTCTTTGCGCAAAGACTTTATGTTATTTAGTGTATTGCAAGGCACATTATTTAATGCTGTAAAAATAAAATGGTTAGATGCCTCTGTTTTGGGGTGGCCACTTGGAAGCATCAAGGTGTGTTATGTCAGGCTGCCAAAAATGGAGTCACCTCAAATCAGCTGCCAGTTTTTAGGTTATTGGCCTTAATTTCTCTGTGCCTTAGTGTCCTCCCCTATGAAATGCTGTTGTAGAAATGGGAATTGTGAGACAAAATCCATTACTGTGAGTTGGTGCTTTAAGATCCTCCAATAGAAAGCATCTAGAGTTGCAAAAGAATTTCCACTGGTAAATACAGTGGAAATACTCTCAAAATATAGAGACATTATTGGAAACGTGGAGCAGCTACATGGCTTTGTGGTATTTGCTACACCTGAATGCTAGATCTGAGGCTATTCATCTCGCTGCAAACATTGGGGTTGTGGGGATAGGTCTCTGCTTCCTTATGTCATGAACTATTTGTTCAACTGTTGTGCTCTGCAGCATGCCATGTCTTTTTCTTTTTAGTCGAAATGCTACTACCATCACATGCACCATGCCAGCCGCGGAGCACACGATGGCTGTGCGAGTCTGTGTCCAGTTTGAGAACAAGTCTTGCATCAATGATAACATCACATTCAAGTATGAAGGAAACCCGATTATAGCAGATATCAACCCCATAAGGAGTCAGATAAGGTGAGATTTCTCCACTTCCCTGTTCCTGTATTGAAGTTTAGTGTTTATTTTGCTGAATGCAAACATGAAAGTAGTACTCATGAAAGTGAAGAGCTAATAGGATTGGAACAAAAGTGCTGCAAGTCCGAGTTGAGGGTGCATAGAATGTAGCTGTTTGACCCCGAGATAAAGTAGGGGTGCTGCTAGTCATGACTGAGATGCAGAGCTGAATGGCAGCCGCAGGGCAAGAATGCCTGAAGATGTTGCAGGTCAGGACTGAGGGGCTTTGGAGAGGAATGTGGTGTCCCAGGGTTGGATTACCAGGAGCTACCACAGCTCAGGACTGTGGTGCCTTAGCAGAGCTCAATTGAGGAGTCATGCAGACACCTGCTGTCTGCGGGCCTGGTTCTAGAGAGTTTCTCGGAAATTCACACAAAAAATGGAAGAAACACATTGACAGTCGTCCTTAGTAACTTTACTGCCCGTCTCCCTCTATGCCTTATTAAGTGCCTTATGGAAGTTGAAGTTGGGGCCTCTATACTGCAATAAAACACCTGTGGCTGGGATGTCAGCTGGCTTGAGCTGCAGGCCTATAAAATGGGAATGTAGCTGTTTGGGCTCAGGCTGGAGCCTGGGCTCTTGGACCCCACAGAGGGAGAGGCGGGTCCCAGCCCCTGGCTGCAGCTCAGTCAGCTACACTGCAGTTTTATAGTCTGCAGCCTGAGCATTGCAAACCTGAATCAGCTGACATGGGCCAACTGTGGGTGTTTTACTGCATTGCTCAGACATACGCTCTGAATCTTTGAATTCTGACGAGCAATAACACTGCAGCTGAGATTTGTAATTTTGTGTTTAAATGGCCCCTAATGCCACCACTTTTCACTTTTAAATCTTGTTACTTTGGTTTCATGTCTCTCCCTGGAGCCTCTGGACTCCAGTTCCTTTTGGCTATTTCTGTGAAATCCCAGCTCACTTAGCAGTAGAGTCTGAAAATGTGGAGCCTGAGTCTAATCACAGAAATCTGAGAATCCAGCACCTGAGCCTCCCCTCTCCAAAATGCTGTGAAAACAGCACAGAAAGCAAGTGTAATGCTACTAAGCCTCCAACAGGTCTGATGCGATCTACAGCCTGCCTAGCAGAGCCATGACTCTGATCACAAGTGCTATACGAAGGGTACAGATTGTGTGGGAAAACACATCAGTGACACACCCAACCCTCAGCTTTTCACATGCAGTTTTTATGAGTCTCAAGCAATGTTCTCTCTAAGCTGCGTGGCAGCCCAGCTTCACAGGTGATTAATCAGCCCCACCCCATCAGCAACTCCGAGCATGGAGCTGACTGACTGAGCAGGGCAGATTAATCACCAGGGATCACTAGTCTCAAGATTGATGTACAGCAGTTGCTGCATCTAAACACAGAGCAACAGCTATAAAATGTAGAAGCTTACATCCAAAAAGGAAGCCACCAGGGTATTTTTCATTCATATGGAAACTGTTATTTGGTGGAACTTGTTTTCTCTTGGGGCATACACACCACTCTGTTAATGTAGAGCTAGTCACAAGGATTGGGCTGTGCATAGTGGTTTGTTCTGTTGAGGTACTTGTATATATGGCCCACACTGATTGTAGAGTTACTTGTAGATGTAATTCTGAAGTACGAATAATGCAGCAAATACTTATGGCATTGCTAAAATGATCAATGCGATCAAGAGTAAAGTTATTTTAAAGGCCATAGATCCCAAACAATTATGCAGAGGTGGCAAGAGCTTAACAGAGACATTAAACATATTGTAACAACATGCTACAATCTAGCAGCTTAAAGGTTTTAAGAAGGCCCTGACTATAAGGACACTAGATACAAGGCATGTTTTCCGCAAAAAAGCTCTGATCGCGAAAATGGCGATCAGGGCTTTTTTGCGGAAAAGCGCGTCTAGATTGGCACGGACGCTTTTCCACAAAAGCACTTCTTGCGGAAAAGCGTCCGTGCCAATCTAGACGCGCTTTTCCGCAAAAAAGCCCTGATCGCCATTTTCGCGATCAGAGCTTTTTTGCGGAAAACAAATCTCAGCTGTCTACACTGGCCCTTTGGCGCAAAAGCTTTGCGCAAAAGGGACTTTTGCCTGAACGGGAGCAGCATAGTATTTCCACAAGAAGCACTGATAATCTTACATGAGATAGTCAATGCTTTTCCGGAAATTCAAGCGGCCAGTGTGACAGCTGGCAAGTTTTTCCGGAAAAGCGGCTGATTTTCCGGAAAAACTGGCCAGTCTAGACACAGCCAATATGTTTAGTGTGTTGGAGATCAGGGGATAAATCACTACCCTTCCCCCACTTGATCTCACCATATCATTAAAGCAAATAAAACATGAAGTGGGGGAAACGAAATGTCACATGCAGAGCAAAGCCGGGTACATGTACTGTTCAGCAAAAGACACAAGCCCCATCTCCCTTCTTTCTTCTCTTTCTCCCTCCCACTGAGGCATGTGCGCCAGCCATCTCATCATTCTCTGTAATTGCTTGCATATTGACAGTGCCTCGTGCCATGTTCCACAAGCGGCAGGTCCAAAGCACAAATGAATTGTCACAGGGTTTTTTCCCCTAAATCAAAAGTGTTTGAAAGATGCAGTGTCAGTGTAATGGGCTGCTTGGCCCACCCCGTACTTATTCCTTCTGTGCTGAGCTAAAAACAATCAGTGAGTCCTAATTCATCTAAGTGTTGAGCTAATGGTGTATTAACCCTTACATTGCGTCTACACAAGCCGTCTGTTTTTTTTAATTATTTTTTTTTTTAAATAATGGGCTCATTGTTTCGCCATCCCAGTAAACCTCATGGCAAATTGCATATCTTGTTTCAAGTTTAGGGTGCTGTGTAGATGCACCCTGAGGGTGTGTCTAGACTACATGCCTCCGTCGACGGAGGCATGTAGTCTAGACATACCCTTAGAGACTAACAGAACATGTAGATATTGCCAGTGATATGTGTGTTTCTTTTCTCACCTCTTTCTTTCCCAGTGGAGGCAGGATCATCACTCTGGAAGGAAATGGATTTTTGATGGTACAGAATGTGTCGATGGTGGTTGACAGCATTGGAAAGGAACAAACAGTAAGCATCTTGTATTAATGTAGCACAAAGAGAGAGATAACATGACCTCCCTGGTGATTGGAGGTGTTCGGAATAATAATTCATCAGCTATAAAAGCCACTGACCTGGTCCCTAACCAATGTTCCCTCTAAGATTTTCCATCCATGAGCAGAGTGAATTTTTTCTTGTGTGCCAACAATGAGGTCATGTGCGCTTATTCGGACGTTTGCCACTGTAGCACCCACCCATGGGATAATTCCCCTGCCAAAGGAGCAGCTTTGTGCTTCCCCTTTCTTGCAGCTCGGGGCAAGGGGGCATGAAGCTGAGGGCAGAGGTGGGATATACATTTGGTGCTTTGGTGATGGGGGAGGAAGCCCATAGCTTGACCTACTAAGGTGAGATTAGGCACTCAGTGTAGCAGATACTTGTTTCCCCTTTGCGCTGGCAATGTCTTGCCACTTTGTCCACATTAAATGAACAAGGCATTCAAAACCTTCTGTGATGCTTTTGAGGCACAGTATCCCTGTCCCTATAGACGGGGAAACTGAGGCACAGAGTAGTCAATAAATTGCCCGAAGTCACACAGGAAGTCATCAGCAGAACTGGGCACAAATAAAAGCAAACTGCAATAGTTCTACCTCCTCTCTTCCAACTCACTATACACAATACCTCCTACACTTCAAGGCTGCAATAAAAGACACAGTACAGCTCTTAGCTCCAGGCTTTCTTATGGCGTGAATTCTTGGGCAGTGATCCATTCATCCAGCATATACAGCAAGAGGGCTTAACATCCAGGATCTGTTCTCAACTCTGATTTTTTTTGGGGGGGGGGTACTTTTCCTTTCCCTCGTTTAATAATAGAAATGAAAAATCCCTTCAACCCCAACCCCCAGCAGCAGCAACCCGCCTGCCTACAGCTCCAACTCCTGGTGGCAGCAACCCGCCCATCACACGGTTCCTCTGGACCCAGCCGGCTGGAGCAGCCATGCTCCACCCTCAGTGCTCCCAGTGCCAGCTGGCCAGAGCAGCCACCT